CTCCCCCTGGGAGGATGGGAAGAGGCTTCACACACTCCCTCGCCCTCAGACCATGATTGGCCTGGAGGCAGGGGGAGCCTATCCCCGCCCTGTGACGAGCACGGGGCACTTCAGAGTGCCGCTCGTAGGGCGAAAGAAGATGTCACACACTCCCCCACTCCCATGTCCTGATTGACCTGGGGGTGGGGGAGCTGTGCAAAGTGCCGTGCACTCCTCACAGTGCTGGGGGGAGGGGAAAGGAAATGTAACACAGCTCCCCGGCCTCCAGGCCAATCAGGACTTGGCAGTGGAGAAGCGCATGATGTCTCCTCCAGACCTGTGAGCTGTGCCCGACACTTTGAAGCGCTGCATGTTGCTCACAGGGCGGGAAGAAGCTTTGCACATTCCCCCACCCCCAGGTCCTAATTGGCCTGCGGGCCAGATTCAGCCTGCGGAGGCCCTTTTGCTCACCCCTGCTTTATAGGGACCCACTGTGTTTCCCTTAGTTCTGCAGAGCTGAAACGCATCTACAGCACAAGAGAAATTGTAATGCATCAGGACAATTTTAATCAGGACCCAGAACAAATTAGCTGGCAGTGTTTGGTCCCTTTGAGTAAAACATATTTTTCAAACCTCTTTTATTTCTGAAAAATAAGGAAGATGTTAAAGTAAAGCTCTGCAACACTAGTAACCAAAATTTACATTAAAAGGTGTCCACCTTTATAAATTCATAATTCATAATTTATATTCTTACATAGACAATACTTGGTTCTTTAACTTTTGAAAGTTTAATTGGCAGTTTTATTTTTACCACACAAGCACATTGGAATTTGGAATGTAAACTGTATTTATATGCAGTATATTTTAGGATTAGATACATGCTGTATTTACAAACACAAGAAGACATTAGTTCCTATGAAGAGAGCCATTCTAAGTGCCATGTACTATCAATGTCCTGTTTAAGCCCTAGTTAATGTGCTTAAATGGGTTCTAAGTGGTGCTTAGGTCTTCAGTTATCCTTCTGCATGGAGTTGAATTTCACCTGCAATGGGCACACTAGCTTGCTTATAGTGCATAAGGAATTGCTTTTTTAAATAGGGGAGTGCAGGTTGAACCTCTCTAGTCTCTCAGACTCATCTAAAGAAGTAGGTTTTGCTCATGAAAGCTCATGTGATACTATGTATATTTTTGTTAGTCTCTAAGGTGCCACAGGACTACTCATTGTTTTTAAAGTTACAGTCTAACATGGGTACCCCTCTGAGACTGGCACTCTTAGGTCTTGATTGGTGCCAAACGAGAGAATTTGCTGAACCATGGGAGGTTAATATTGTCTATGAGCATTACCAACACTTCCACTGCTTACTGGGTTCTTAGAAGACATAGGGGGTAAATTAGAGCTAAATGCCAGCACAGAGCACTGAGAGACAGGACTGGTGGCAGTAAACAAACTTTATGGAACCATGGGAAACTTGGCTACATCCATGATAAGTGGACATGTTGCTAACTAAAATCATGTCAGAGCATGGATATTGCCAGACCAGAGGGTGCCTGACTAGAAAGGTTCAACCTGTATGATAACCTCTTCACTAATTACTTTGTTTGTATTGTTGCCTTCTAAATGTTAACATTTCTTTTTTTCTTTTGCCATTTTTTCTTCATTGATTCTTTGAGGCAAATTAACTTTTTTTTCCACAGTGATCATGAAGTCTCATTAACAAGAATGGAGTTTTTATACTATTTGTTCAGAATATACACAGTATAAATCAATGGGTTAAAGAATTAAGGAGAAATTATTAACTCTTCACTTTCTTTAAAAAATGTGTTTCTATATTGCAATTATATATTTACCTGGAGCAGCTATCTGCCACTTCCCCTCCTCCCGTCCCTTTGTCAGCAGGTCTGCATCCCAGGCACCAGCTAGAGCCTGAACTTTCACACTGTTGTTGTTAGCCTGATAGCCTGAGCCCTGTGATCCCAAGTGAGTTTACCTGGGCCCAGAAACTTGCTGCTGCGGGTTTGGTTTTTTTTTTTTTCCCAGTGTAGATATATACAAAGTGTTTATTTAAAGTCATCCACGTAGAGGAAGAAAAAAGGGAATGAAGCTGCCTTTTCATTAGTTTCATGTAACTAGTCTCATTGCAACTGAAGTCAGAGAAGTCCTTCATTTGGAAGAAAGGGGTGTTCAGAGAAGTCCTTTATTTGGAAGAAAGGGATGTTCTTATCTCACATTAGCTAACATAATACAATTCTAGTGAAGACACAGCAGTTGAACTTTGAACATGTTAGCAGATCAAGATGAATGCTCGCTTCCCTCCGGGTGTCTACCTTCATATAATAATGTGTGGAAACTACTACCTCCAGCTGCTAATGTTTGGAAACTCTTTGTGTTGTATATTATGTTTGTTGTAAACCTAAAGCACTTGAAATTCCAAATGAACCAAACTTTAAATGCTAAATTTCCTTAACTTCTGCCATCCTTGCATACTGTGTTTTGTTCATTACTTCTTGTAGCTATTTGTTTTGAGCAAGAGCATATGCAAGCAGCTGTCAGCCTTTGCTAACCATTAAGTATTTCCTGAGTAACAAAAGAAATTCTTTGGAACTTCTTCCCTTTGCGGATTCCTTTATGGAAGATTTTTTTTCATCTTGGACTAATGGTTTCTTGTCTGAAGCTTATTATATAAGGAGAAGGTGATGGTGGTGGGAACTGCTCATCCTGCTCTATTGACATACTGAATTCACATTAGTAAGTATTTTCAACTATGTCTCAAAAATAATAAAACAGATTTCACAAGCTGTATTTAAAAAGAACAGATTTAAATATATTGACATATTTTTATTTTTATAGATAATAAATAATAAGGAGGCATCAGCACGAGCAGCATATTCAGATCTGATGGAGCAACAAAAGACAACAATTGATGAGAATAAAAAACTCATGGGAAAGATAAATGAGCTTGAGAAAATGTTAGAGGAGTTGAAGAAACAAAAGTACCATGTAGAACAGGAGCTCCCCAAAGTGAAGAAAGCTGCAGAAGATGAGCTGAAGAAACAGCAGAAGTATGTGGAAGAGATAGCTTTTCAGAAAACCAAGGCTGAGAAAGAATCAAAGCAATATCAGCAAGAGCTAGAGAGCATTACAAAAGAGAAAGCAGCTGCAGAGCAGGAGTTAGAATATGTAAGGCAACTCACCTTGCAGACAGAGGCTCAAAGAAGTGTAGTTGAAGAAAATCTCAGAGCTTTTAGAACTCAAATAGAGGAAAGCACTGCTGCTAGAAGAAAACTTGAAGAGCACCTGAGAAAGAAGGATACAAATCTTCAGGATTTGGAACAGCAGAAAAAAGTTTTAATGGCAGAACTGAGGAAGAAAACTGAAGGTGAGGAAAAGCTTATGAAACTAATAAAGCAAATGGAACAGGATCTTGAATATCAAGGGACTCTAACAGGAAAAAAGGTCCAAGAAAAAGGGAAAACAGAAGCTAGTAGGCAAATAGTTGAAGGTAGGTACTCCTCAATAAGAGAAAATGTGCTGTCAACTTGCAAATCTGTGCAAGACAAGCACTATCAGGTTGACTCTGACATTACAGGTTTCCAGAAAAAACAGGAAATGAAGAAAGTAGAGGAGCTTAAACAGTGGGTAGATGAGCTGACTGTAGCCAACAAAAAGGCTGAAAAAAACATTAAAGATCTAAAATACGAAATGAATGATCTTGAGCTTCAAAAAGCATCAGCTGAAGAAAAGGCTCGTTTACTAAAAGAGAAATTAGATGATGCCAATAGTGCACTTAAAGGTCTGAAAATTGAGCTGGAGCAAAAAGATCAGGCAGAGCAGGGATATTTGCAGCAGTTGAAAGAACTTGATAGGCAGCTCCACAAGACCACAGGTAAAGCTGAAGAGGTAATGCAAGAAGCCATCGATCTTAAGAAAATTAAAATGAATT